TACACGCCGGCCACACCCTGCGCCCATGAGCAGTCGGCCACGCCGTCGCCGCCGCCCGCTGCCCTGGGACATCAGCCCCCACCTATCCGCCCGGGCTGGGCGATGCCCCAGGGGCTTTCTCAGCGGCCGGCTGATGGTCCCCGCGACTCGGCTATGGGCGCTTCCCCACCGGCGCTTGCTGATGAGGCGTCCTCTGACCTCTCCGTTCCTACGGGTGCCTTCCTGGGCGCACCGCTCCCGATGCCGCAGTCGCCGCCGGCGCTGCCCCAGCTCACTCGGCCGGGCCGCGTGAGGAAGCCGCCGGCACGCTACGAGCCCGAGTCCGGCAGCTGGATACGGGATTTAGACCGTTAATCTATTCCAGCCTATAGCTTTCCGGTCTGGGGGGGATGAAGAGTTTATCGCCGGCCACTAGAGGGCAGCGTGTCACTGCTGTCGCACAGGATATGCCGTGCTCTGACCCGGTAGTACTGAGCAGCCATTTTAGTTCAAACATTGTTCATTCACTCCGCCTCGTGTCGAGACGTTCATCCACTCACACATGTAAGACTGTTCCCACTATTGTTGGTGTATATATACGTGGTGTCGTAGCATATATTTGTGTTGTGTTAATGATGACATGCATGTATGTAATACTTTGTCAGCTTACCTCGCTGTATTACTCTGTTTCAGGGTGTCGTCATCTTTGTCATTAAAACACTGAAACTGACATTGAGGAGTGTGTTTCTTCACTTACCATGGTACTTAGGAGCAGAGTTGGGTGTAATAATATTTCTTTTGTCGGTAACGGAGTAGTGTAACGCGTTACTTTTATAATTCAGTAATCACACTACAGTTACTAACATTGCCCCGACACGCGTTACTTCGTTACTTTTATAAAATCAGTCATAATCACACTGACAGACAAGAGGGGTTTCCGCCGCAGGTTTATATGTACGTAATCTGCGCGACTTGCACGTCCACATCTCCGCGTGCAGTGCTGCATAAACATGGCTGAGTCAGCGATAACTTTCGAGGGGTGGAGGTATGCCCATTATTTTGAGTTCGTCCGAAGAATAGACAGGAATGTGACGGTGAGGTGCAAACTGTGTCCAGGCCAGAAGCTGTTATCCACTGCTGTAAACACCACGTCAAACCTCAACAAACACCTGCAAAGAACACATGCTAAGGTGAAGCTAATAGCTAAGGACCCCCGAACCCAGAGTGAGGATGTTGTGAGTGCGCCGCCGCAAGAATTTGGAGGACCAAAGCAGAGATGGACAGGCTTGTAGCATCCTTCATAGTAGAGGTAATGTTGCCCATTTGCACAGTGGAATCACCATCGCATCGTTCAGAGATATACTGCGCAAAATACAGATAGCAGGAGACAGAGGACAGCCATGGTCAGAGCTATCTGGATCAGTCTTATGCGACAATGGAAACTGAACTAAAGAGAACATTTGAAACTTTAGCAGTCTGCGTGATCTGCCTGCAGGGAGGGGCTGGCCAGCCCTGCGAGTAAAGTAACGAGTAAAGTAACGAGTAAAGTAACGAGTTACTTTATGTAGAGAGTAACGAAGTAGTGTAATATATTACTTTTTTTTAAAGTAATATGTAATATATTACTTTTTTTTACGACCCCATCTCTGCTTAGGAGACATAATTTGTGTCTGAACAACGTCTTGTTCATGAGTTATTGATCCGTGAAATCCGAATCTGCCAATATCTCAACTTCCGTAAACACAAGTGTATGGCAAATATGGAAAATAAGTTCATTTCACAGCGGGTGGGTCGTAACCCTTACTTTCAGAAGAACATTCTGGGAACCAAAATAAAACGTCCCGCTGAAAACATTCCTAGAACAACGAATGGTAACAAACATTTCTAGCTGGGAACTCACACATGCCACCGCAAACATGCAATATCTGCTTACAACTTATCATGAATTACGTGCTTGTTTGTTTTTTCCAAAAGGAAAATATGGTGCCATCAGATTTCTTTTTAACCTGTTAAGCCTGAGAGAACCCGGTACCGGGGCACTGCCGCAACATCTTGCAGGAAACAGTGTCTGAGGGCATGTTCATTTAATAAACTATGAATGTTTTATATCCATGTAACGGGAAGAAACTCATCCAACTGATCATTTTTTTTTTTTCAAAAGAAAACCCACAATGCTAACACTGAGCCTCTGAATTAGCAACGAGCAAAAAATGCTAACAGATTACTGCACCGAAAATCACTCACAAAACCTTATTATTTATCTCTTCTCCACATCCATGACATCGATTCACATTGTGAGGTGACACAGAATCGATGGGTACCCTCATTATCACTGAATTATATGAATTTGCGACGTTATAAACAAAAACAGACATCAAAACAGGTGACGCTAGGTAGCTAAAAATGCTAACATTTTCACCATTGCTCTGTAGTCTCTCCAAAGTGGTCTTCAATGGCATTAAAACGATAAAAACGCTGCTGAAGTTAATCCATAGGTTAATCCAATGTGTCTGTGTCCCTTTGAAATGATTTCTGATAATCCATAAGCAATAAAACTGCTTTTCCGTTTCCAGATGTCAGAGCTAGAGATAGGTTCGCTCTGATGCAAAACTGCATGCGCGAAGCCTCCACCTTTTTTTTTCACAATGAGTGTGTGTGGGGGACTCCCTCTTCGATTATATTGGCTCTGGTCAGAAAGAGGTGTCAACCATCAAAATCGAGCAAGGGGGGCCAGAGATATGGAAAATCCACCCAAATGACCCCAGAAGTGGTTTATTTTTGCTAAATCTCTCTAAAAAGGTCAAATGCCACTTGTTTTGCATCAATCTTGATACAGGGTACTTATTATATGTTGTACTTTGGATTCCTAAAGCTTTTAGTCTACCTTACCATCATCCAAGGGTAGTTTTCACTATAAATAAAAAATAATTTTTGGACAGACACTATAATTTACAGTTTTTTACTATATAAAATCTGAATTTTCTTTAAAATAAAAAACATCTATATTGATTCTGACTTTTCTACATCCAACTCACAGGTTTATCATTACTTTGAGAAAAAAGATTATTAATTTAACCCTTTTAGAAGGGAAGATATGGTCATTTGTTCTGGGAATGTCATTTTTGAGCCTGAGACCTGAAAAACAGGCTCAGGGCTTAACAGGTTTAAACATCCTTTTCAAACAAATGCAACAAGTTTGTTTTTTAAAGCGCACTAGAAATAAATCTGAGGTTGACCATGACCGTGTTAATATTTGCCATCACAGGAACGTTTAATAAAAAAAGAATAACATCCTGAAAACATTTTCAGAATGTTTCTTGGAGAATGTTCTTCATTTGTTATCATGTAACATTGAGGGAACGTTTTATAAAGAACATCTTTAATGTGTTACCCCAACAACGTCCAAAACACATCCTTAGAATGTTGCAGGCAAAACGTTCCACCTTTGTTAACATATCACATTAAAGGAACGTTTTATAAAAAAACGTTCTGTCATCTCAGGCCTTAATAACATCCTCAAAACATCCTCTGAATGTTGCAGTTAAAACGTTATGTCTTAGTTAACCTTAAACCTTATAGGAACATTATTTAAAATAATAAACATCCTAAAAAGGTTCTTTGAACATCAGATTAAAACGTTTCTTTAAAACATTATCAGAACCTGTAGGTAACGTTAGCCAAAGTTGTGAGAACGTTCCCCGCTAGCTGGGTTAACATTGGTTGTATCTAAGTTAGATTCCTTTTCACCACAATTCTTTAATTAAACACCATTAATCAGAAAATAATGGATATGACAACACTTCCAAGACTACAAGACATAACAACAACTGGCCCACAGTGTAAAGTCAGGTCTCAACTTTATTCACTATTTTGCTCAAGAACAGAGTGAACATATACAGATGTTGAAGTGTTACAGGAATCTGATATTGCTTCATCTTTATAACCATCAGCAATATTTCCAACAAAATGGTGCTAACAGTGACTCTCAAACAAAACAAGTTTTACTTCTTTTTTGTTCACGAGTTATGAGTTCTGCACAAAGAAGAAAATAAACAAATGCTGAAATAAGCGATAGGATATTCCCAACATAATCAAAATGATACATTTAACAAAACAGATATTCCTTGTCTTTTACTTAAACTATGATTTGATATTTCATCATTATAATGTTGATAAAGCATGTCTAATCTTGTCCTAAACAGAAAAACCCACCCCGCACCGGTTTCATAAGAAAAAAGACTCCTCTTGTATTCTCTAAATATAACTCGCTTTAAAATACTGTTTAAAAAAAGACAAAGCAAAAGCAATTGGCACTTGAAGTACCTTTTTTCTCCTAAAATAATGAACATAAATTCAACAAAATAAGCAACTATTTTTTCCCCCATTATGTTTATATGTGTTGTATTTCAACATAAGTTTTGACAGAGCCATTGCCGGATATATAATGCTTGAGTTGTTACTACAATAGAAAGTTCCAATAAAGAAATATTGTTCAACTGTTCATAAAGCAGAATACATTGAACCCCACTCCCCAGAATACTTAAAGTGGACCTATCATGCTATATTTGAATAATATATTGTAGGGCCATACCTATATAAAACATGTCTGTCAAGTTTTTTTTTCAAAATACCAAACAGATCATGCATTTTAGCCATGCCTCATTTCGCTCTATTTGCTCGTTTTTTTGCCCTGTTTTTGCAAGGGCTGATTCTGTGAGAAGTCTTCTTCGCTGCTTTTGCGGCAGACTACAGCGCCACCTACAGGCCTGACATATGTACTACAGGGTCTCCAGGCAATGGCTGTGGCTGTCTCCTCCTGATAGGTGGAGAGTTGCCCATATAGGCGGAGCACCCCTTTTCTGACGTCAGAAAAATTAACGTCTGTATCAGTCTGTATCAGATCTGTTGCAGCCCGTTTTTAGAGATTTGGGTATGGAGGAAAAGAGAGAGGGTTGTGTTTTCTGACACTTGGTGAGTTCCCTGACACACCGGGGACACATATTCATGTATAAAAGACGTACAAAAGTGCATTTTGCATGATAGGTCCCCTTTAATAAAAAAGCTAAATTGTAGAAAGCAATAATAAAACATTTTCCCCGTCCCTCTGGGTTTGACTGCATTTTTGATTTTGAATAGCACGTTAAAGTTAAAATGGGATGTTAGGTTGCCATTTTAAACTTTATGCAGACCAAGAATGGCCGACTGTGTGTCGATGTGTGTGAACGTTATGCTACTGAGCAGGTCTTTGACAGCCTCTGCCTCTATGAATGTGTGTGAATGGGTGCCAATGTAAAAGCGCTTTGATGGGTCGTAAAGACTGGAAAGGCGCTGGATAAATCCAGATAATTTACCATTCAACTGGACACAGGTAGGCATAGTTGGACTTATGACAAGCCCAGAGGCCTGGGAGAAGAGGATCAGTGAATGTGGTGCGAAAGGTGTACAGGTGAGTCAGTGTGTTGGCGGAGACTCTGTAGAAGGACAAAGTGCCAGCAGGATGATCCAGATACACCCCGAATCTACTGAAGTCACCAGAGGGATAAGGTACATTGCACACCCTCTCATTGGCATGGAATGCCCTAAGAGACTGTTGGAAGTACCACATATTTTTGCCAAAACACCAGGTCTTTGAATTATTGCCAAAATGACTCCCATTTCCGTCATTTCTGTCAGCTCCCTTGTATGCAACAGCAGCATAAACAGACTGCCAGCCACTACTACTCCACTCTACCTCCCAGTAATGGCACCCAGATAACTCCTCTTTGCACAACACCTGTGGGCACCATCCATACCTCTCTAGGTTAGGATGATAGGCCTGCGCTGCTCCATTTGTTGCCTTTTTGTTTCCTTGTGACAGAATGAGATTGTAGTTGGCAGTGTTTGGGTCCAGGTTGAGATCACAGGCATCTGATGGAGAAAACATAACAAAATATCTTATCAGTAACTTTGATGATCAAACTGCATGATAATTCATATATTTAACTCATAAAAGCACAACTTACACCAGATCAGATCTCTCTTGTCTGTGATGGTCTCCACAGAAGAAGGCTTTTGAGGATGAAAGTCTTCAGTGACCAGCTGGCCTTTCTTGTAGTGATGGATGCTTGCTCCTTTGTAGTTGTCATTGGTTTTGGCCGTTATGAGGAAACGAAATTGGCTGTTGTTCTTCAGCGCTTTGGAAGCACCCTGGAAAAATGTGGCTTTTTCTCTCATTGTTTTAAGAACTTCTTTGGAGTAGTACCACTCCTCCTCATGGCTACTTTCTAAGTTGGTTGATTTAAAGTAGTCAGCCATCTCATCAAGGTAGCTATCACCCTTTGGCATGGAGGTGAAAACAAAGCACAGAACATCCTCTACACCTGGAGCAAGGACCTCTTTGTCCACCTCGGTCTGGTTCTGGACGATCTTTACTCCGTCCATGGTGTCGACACAGGACCCGATGACGTTGATTTCTCTCTCTTTGTGATCCAGCCACTTGTTTAGTTCTTCATGGCTGAATGGTGACTTGTGCCTGTCTTCAAATACTTTTTCCAGTGAGCTCTCATCTTCCTTTCCTGCTCGGATGGAGGGAAGTTTCTCTGCCATGGCTTGCTGGATGTTGGTTTTATAATAACCACACAGTTTTTGGAAAGTGCTTAGGTATTTTCTGATCTGTGGGAAGTCCTCTCCCACTTTGTCGTCCAGAGAATCATTGCTTCTCATTTCTACTTCCTTTAAATCTTCCAGAGCATCTTGGGCTGTCCTCATTAGTCCAATGCTGATCCCTGTCTTCAGCTCAGGAGCTTTGGGATCAAAACTCTTCAGTGGCATCAGCCAGACCTTCACTGGGACCGAATGCTCTCCATTTTTTCCCAGTAGCTGTGGAAGGTCTACATAGCGCTGTACTGCTGCACAAAATGTTGCTGGGTTGCTTTTAAGAATGAAGTCTCCCCAGAATTTGCAGGAGAATTTCTCAGTCAGTTCTTTCTCTTCATCAGTTAGATTGATGTCAACCTTCCCCTTAACATCAAATTTAGGAATCTTCTTTATCACAGCTTGCATGCTGCCTTCTATCTTCTGAACCTGAGTGGCTTCTAACTTCTCACTGTCAAACACAAAGAAAGCATTTGCCCCATACAGGATGCCTGTGACTACATGTGTGGCCAAGCCCTTCTCAATAATCTTCATCTGTTTGGTGTCCAGGGTCAAATTATCAATTGACAACTCCTTGAAGTTGGTGGTAGCTTTGTACTGAAAGGTCACTCTGCTCTGATTCTTGAATTTCTGCTCATCATTCAGATATTTGGCAGATCCTCCAACTTCTATCAGTCCACTCATGAAACTGGCCTGCAGAGAAGCTTCAATATCCATCATGGTGGACTTTGATTCAATGGTGTCAGATTTAGAAATCGCAAAATTACTGTACTGCTGAGGGGTTTCAGTTGTTTTTAGAGTTTCAGCATTCCATAATTTGACACCTAAATAAACATAAACAAAGACATAATTAAACATGAAAGCACAAGTTTTTCGGATCAGTTCAGGGCAAACACTTAGGGCAATATTCACATAAAATATATAATTTCAAAGTTTTTCAGGTTGCAGCTTCATATCCTGTGAGAGGTTTTAATAAGCAAAGTTTGTGTCTGTGAAATAAATTCAGACTTCTGAGAAAGAATACAGAGTTTTTATTTGAGTTCTAAGATTAAAGTTATTCTAAGAAATAGAAAATAATTTTTTTATTTTATATTATAATTCTGAATTTAAGCTCAGTATTCTAAAACTAAAGAATTCCAGAGTACGGAGGATTTGTTTTTCGTGCTGAGATTAAAGTTATTCAGAGAAAAATCCGAAAATCTCAGTAACTGACTTTTTTGTTAAAATTCTTGGTTTAATCACAGAACCCAAAACAACCTCACTTTTGGTCAGATCTCAACGTACTCTAGCATTCTTTAAATTTAGAATTCTGAGAAAAAAATCTTAATCCTGAAGAGACCTCCTTAAAGTATGGAGGAGATCTAACCTAAAGCGATATTTCTTTTTTGTTCTGAGTTTAAAGATCTTCTGCGAAAAATACAACTATTAGAATTGTTACTTTTTTATTAAAATCCTGACTGTAAACTGGTGTAGCCCTAATCCTCTCAAGCATTCTTTAAATTAAGAAATACAAAAATAAAAAAAAGTTCTAACTTTGGTCAGATGTTAAACATTTTCAAATATAGCCCTAATTCTCGTTTGTTCTAGAGTCAGTCAGAAAGGCATACTTGTCCCTGGGCAGGCAATATTTAAAAACACAGATTTAAGATAAAATGCATAGAAAATACAATCAACGGACAAAAGCAGTGAAAACATATCCAGATACAGATGTAGCACTCCAGGTAGGACTCCACCCAGCGGATTCCAACCAAAAACCCAGCGGATTCCAGTGACTGGGGGCGTTGCCAAATTGCTAGAGGGCGTTGCCAAATTTCCCCATTTGTTCAATTACAGGATTTAACCATGAGATGGCGCTTCATTCACAAATACAGTAGTAGAACTTAGTCTGTTTTGCAATGTTTGCAGCTCTGCAGTTGTGTTTGCTGAAGAGCATTTAATCACTTATTTGTTATGGTTTTCACAGGCTACTATAACGAAAAAACATCAATATTTTAGATCAAATAAAGTTTATCTAATCTTATTATCTTAATTGTAATTCAATAATATATAGTCTTTATATATTAAATAATCATAATAATAATGTAAATGTTTACACTTCTTTATTTTTTATGCTCATACTTTTACCTTTACAATAGTTTGCTTTATGCAGTATATTTTTTGTAATATTGTTGTGGTCTTTTTACACAGTACAGTAGATCGAAGTAAATCAACTCATACATTAACACATTTATGCATCAATAATTACAACGGAGTATTTCTAAATATAAATTGTACAAATTATATGTATTTAATACTAATAACATAATGATTCAAGATGATACACATGGCTAACACATCTTTTTACCTAGGTATATAATCGGAATACTTCTTCCACCTCTGATTTTAACCTGTCACTGTTTTTAAAACTTTAATTAAATGTTTCATATTTCCAGAGACCCTTTCAGACCGGCAATGCTGCCCTGCATGTAAGAAATGTCCCATCTCCCTTGGGAGACTTCCTCCACACATTCCGATGGGCAATTAGTTTTAAACAAAGAGTCCGCAACATAGGCTACTACAGTATCTCTTGTTAACAGAGGGGGGATGGGGGGCTTTGTCACACCGTTTCAGGGTTCATGAATAGTGGATAGGAGAATTCAAAAGGATTTAGGAGAAGAGACTGCAGTGCTTTGAGAATCCGACTGCACTTACACTATCGACGTATTGATGATGTGCCAGCGGACGTCATGAATGTGCGTCTGCTGCTGTGGGGAATCTACAGTTTGGCAGAGCAAGAAACACTCCAGCCTTTTATTTAAACTTGTTTAAAACATATCTAAATAAATGTGTGTCCCGGACCATAAATGCAATTATGCTGTCAGTTTTCAGATAAAGCCACCACACCAGCTTACAGACATGGACAAAAACAAAGGATCAGATGTGTCGAGGGGGGGGGGGGGGGGAACTAGACACTCCTTTACAGCCATGGTCCGGTCTGACAGCTACTGATGGGCCATTAGGTGTGTAAACACACAGCTGATCACCTGAAGCTGCCGTTTCTATTGCCGTCTACTATTTAAAAAAAAAAAATGGTCTGATTTTAACATTGCACAACAATGAACTCAATGTGTGATTGTTATAGCAGTAATATTAAACAATAATAATACAGTAAACTATTAACAATAGTATAATATTATAGCCCGTTTGCCCATGGTGAGATAACGAGGCTTCATTAAAAATAAACCTATTTTTAGTGAATTACTGAGTTGGGGCAAGTTAATAACGTTTTAATGAAGTTGACTACAGTATATTCATATTTGTCAGTGCTTTCATGTCAATTCAGCGAACATAAACATAAATGATCGTGGTGAAGATGATGATTAAAATATGATTAAAAATCGGTAGTGAGAGCCGTGCTGCATTTCCTCCCGTCGGATGTGATATAAAAACAAACTGATTATTTTTGTAGTTGTAAACTCACGTGGATTAAACTACATTTATTAGTACTTTCATGTAAATTCGGCGAACATATGATACACTAAATGATCGTGAGGATGATGATTAAAAATCTATGAGCCGGTCTGCATTTCCTGATGAAAAAACATAGCGATGGTTTTGTATTTACGCCAACGTGGATTAAACAACATTTTTTTGTTAAATCAAAACATGGTGATGTTTTGTAAATGATTACATGTCTCTTATTTAGCACAGAATGTGATCCTATCCGTGACATATGGATCTTAACAAATATCCGCTATATCAGATACCTGTACTGTAGATCTATCAGCTGTTTATTTTTTATTCCACATGAGTTCCAGTGTGGCAGCTTTTTAATCACTCCTCCCCCTGGTGGATCCATGATCCATTGCAGCTGGTTTCATTATAATTAAATGTATTTATCAAGGGGGCATATCAAGTAATGCGGGGTGTTTTCCTTTCAGCGAGGGCCGGCCCCGTGCAGATCACGGACCCACATGGGTAGGGGCGTGCGAAATGACGTGCTACATCTGTATACCCAGATGCACGACAAAGAGACAAAAGAAACAACTCTCCTAAGATCCTCAATTTACAATGGCATGACAACAAAATAATGTCAGGCCTGGTGAATTGTTGTTGTAGAGTTACTATGATGAAAGCTTTGTGACTAATGGCGCGTTTCCACTACACGGCCTCGCTCGGCCTCGCTCGGTATGGCTAGGCCTCGTTAGGACTGGCTCACTTTATGGCGCATTTCCATTACAGTTTAGGAACTGGGGCAGTATCTATAGTAACGCAGTGTAGGCGGAGCCGTGACGTGATCTTCAGAGGACCCCAGAAAAACAACACAGCCGTTAGCTGTTAGCACTCAGAGCTCACAGTTCCTCATATATGTTCAGAAACTAGACAAAAGTTAAACAAGTACAAACCACAGACTGCCTGTGTCATGGCGAATACAGTCGCTGCTTTATTTATGTCTGTATAGGCCGTTGTTGTGAGTGTGGACGGTCGGAGCATATGCTGCGTTAGCTTAGCCAATCTCCATTTAGAAAACACGCATTTTAAAAGGTTTTTCGCCTGCCGTCTGTCTGCAGACTTGACAAAGCATTAATTCATGGTTTTTACTAACCGGTATCAGTATGTTGTTACTTCGGCATCATTTTGAAACGTGTATTACAATTAAATCACGGTCAAATATGTCCATCTTGTTGTAGTTGTAGCCCCCTTGCCAGCGATGCTCTCTCTAGTTTAGCATACTCAGCCCGACTCAGCCTCGTTGTCTCTGGCCCTAGACCCACGATTTTATGAGGCCAGAAAAACTGTGAATTAGGACCCGCCGGCCGGTACTAGGCCAAGTGGAAACGCAACCAAAGACGGGCCGCTGACGTCACAGCCCTCTTAAACCGTGCTCCGCGCTGTAGTGGAAACGCGCCATATGTGAAGTCTTACCTGGGACCAGTTCATCACTCCAAGCATCATAGAGCATCCCTAGGGTGAAAGATCGTCCCAGAGCAGCAACGGTCATTTTATCTGTGGCCATTTCTCTAACCTGTTGAGAAGAAACAACACAGACTTCAGTAACTGATTTAAACGTCTGTTAAGGAGTAGGAGTGTTGAGAGTTAATAACATTTGGAGTCTGATTGTCAACTGTGCTTAGTAATGTAGTATTTCCCTACAGACACTAATCAAGCAGCTGTAGTTTTTATTATAAATCTGTGTTTGTCTGTTAGTCCTCACCTGGTGAAGTTGTGTAGAGCAGCAGAGTTGTGTGAGAGTCTTCTGACTTCCAGCAGGAGCTTCAAGTCTGATGAAATGTGGTGTTGTGAGGTGACTTATATACTGTCAGATACTCTCCTCACCTGACCTCCTATCACACATATAAACACATCTGTCAAAACAGTTCTTAGTGTGACAGGCCTTGACAAGATAACACCTTCCTGATGTGATAAACAGAAAAACAAAAAGTCCCTTGTACCTAGGAATGCAGAGACACTTCCCTGACACTGATTGATAGTCTTTTCTGCTAACTTCTTACATAACATGCTTACAGAAATGACCTTATTTAAAGGTGAAATGTGTCCAAGCCATCTGCTCCAAAGAACTACAGAGAAATGAATAGTTCCATACATACAATCATTTATATATACAAACCCCAATTCCAATGAAGTTGGGACGTTGTGTTAAAGGGCCCATGTCATGGCCATTTCCACTGATCATAATTACATTGTTGAGGTATACTAAAATAGATTTATACTGTGCAATTTTCCAAACTCACATTGGTTTCGCATACAGCATCTCTGTCAAGCATGTGTATTCAGCAGTATTCACTTTCTCCACTAAACGACTCGTTGGAGCTCTTGCCCCCCCCCCCCCTGTGAGCCTAGTGTGCTCCGATTGGTCAGCTCGGCCACTCGTTCTGATTAGTCAACCACCAGAGAGGCTGCGCCCATGTCAGTGCTTTTCCCGGCTGCTCTCAGCGTAACATCAGTCTTATCATGGCGTCGGTACAGCGGTATATTTTATATACATATATATTTTTAACTGTTGTTATAGAAGAGTGTGACGGCCCCAGGGCCTTTGTCTTACGGTGGGGTGGAGCTGAAGAGGGTAATCAGCGCGATCACGGACACCTCCGTAGCCGGTGCTATTAATCCCAGCGGCCCGGAGTCTCTCTCCAAAGCGGCTGCAGAAGGACGAACTGAGCGACCCTCTCCCCTCGACCACCTGTCTCTGCATTTACTACAATAAATGTGCCGTGGTTTTGTAAACTCGTGTATGTCTCCTTGTCTTTCCGTTGTGGCCTACGAGCTACTCTCATAACAAAGAGTAAGTTATTTTTACCCGTTATAAACTACTACTGTTTGATGAGAAATCAAATCATGGTTTGCTATATATGAATTCAGGGAAGAAAGGATAGGCCTACTAAGTATTTCCATTAAACTTTATTTTTAGAAATGTACAAAATGAACATAAATATACATATATACACGGTATATCATCCATTCCTCCTCCTCGCATCTTGCCTGCGCACAGTCGGTGCGGTGCGGTGCCTTTTAGCACCCTCAGTAGTAGTAGAATCCCTTCCCCGTCATGGATTGTCCGCCAGGATCTGGCTGGACGAAATCAAATGCAAATCACAAAATATTAGAGAAACTTAGTTGTTTTAGATTCGTTAGTAGTAGTTGTGTAATGAACAGCTTGCCTGCTAATATGCTAACCTAGCTTTGTTTACCTTGGTAGCTAACACGATATGAACGTTAGCTTGGAGGAAAGGCAACTATAATGCAGTGTAATAAAACTACTATGAACAAAAGCTAGTGGTTCATATTAGGCTAGCAATAACGTGTTTATAATTGCAATCGTATACGGGTATTCTGCTACGTTCGGTCATACAATGTAACTTGCATGAATACATTGTTTTGCGCTAGCATACAGCTAGCCTCGTTAGCTACATGCAGTATATGTACGGTCACAATGTACGGTAAATCACAGTACAGTATACTGTATGAGTATTCCGTGTGTGTGACTGCAGACATTCTCCTGCCATGACAAACATGTAAGGCCATCTGCTGACATTGTAGTTGATATATTTAAACGCTAGCAACGTAGCATCACAAAAATGTTTTTCTGACCGAAACTAGCTCTAGCTCCGTGTGTTAGATCGCTACGCCAGCTATAATGTAATTACGTTTCGCGACTGACCGGCAAATCACCCGGAGTATACTGTCAATAGGTATTTTGTGTGTGAATGCAGACATTCTCCTGCTATGAGATACATGTATGCAAGGCCATCTGCTGATATTAGAGTTGATATATGGAAACTCTAGCAACTTAGTTAGCACTGTGTCAATGGCTTAGCAGTCCAACACAGTTTACACATTTAAACAGTCTTGTTTGATAAATACACAAATAACAATGCAAACTTACAGGTTGTATACCCAGATCTTCCCCTGCTCCAAACGGTCCAAACAAGCTGTGCATATCCGGCCTCAAACTGGGCAATGTTTTGGAAGCTTTCGTCTGTGAAATGCCGGTTCTTCGAACCTCTGGAGGAGGAACACGACGCTGCTGGTGTGGCCATAGCTCTTCGGGATTGGTCCATTTCGTTCCGGGTACCGCATGACATCAGGCGGTACCCGGAACTAAATGGAAGACTCAAATGGGCAGTGACGTATCTCCAACGAGGCGTTTTGGGGAGGTATTTTCTGTGTTAGAGTTTTACTCGCTACAGGGTGTACTTTGAGGGTTTTGACTCTGCACACCGTTTACATGCATAAAAACCTTCATAACACACAAGGGGGCGGGTAATAACCGGAAAAGCATGACATGGGAGCTTTAAAAGTTCATCCATTCCAGGCTTTGAACCAGCTCTAATTCAATTTCAACACAATCAAGCCAATGAAGCTGATTGTGAAGCTGGCAGGCCTTTCAGACATACCATGGGTGGTAATAATCAGAATTAGGTGCTATTTATCACTGCTTCCCCCAGAGGTGGGGACTCGAGTCACATGACTTGACTCGAGTCAGACTCGAGTCGCATATTTTTTGACTTGAGACTTGCTTGACTAACATTGATAAAAGACTTGACTTGACTTTGACTTGGTATTCATGACTTGAGACTTGACTTAAGCTTGAGACAGATGACTTGAAAGGACTTGACTGTTTAAAATTAAATATTTGCGTTTGTTTTTGTATTGAGATATTACGTTTAGTTTTTTCGAGAAACGTGATTGGGTGATTATAGCGCCATGCGCACAAACCTGGCAACCCACTAGACGGCAGGAGTGTCAGTTAACATGGCAGCGGCTAGTGTTACTCCAAAAATAGTGAAGTTTGGATTCAAGGATTATGTTGTGGATGACACTAATAAGAAGAGAACAGCGGTATGCAGGGTCTGCAGCATAAAGATCAGTGACACGACCACCAAAACATCCAACTTCATTCGTCACTACAAAAAAACCCACAGAGAAAGGTGCGTGAATGTGTTGTGTTAGCTAGAAAGCTAACGTTAAGTTTAAGCTACGTTCGACTTGGTTTCAAATCGATTAAGCATTGCAAAGAGAAGACAAAACGTAAATGAACACTAGAACCGCCGAGGGATTCATTTTGACTAACCCCGATACTGACGGGCTGTCAGGAGAGGGAGAGAGAGAGAGGAAAAGAGATGCCTCGTTTATTTCCCCTGTGTTATTATCAGAAGTTACTGTAAACTGTTGAATAATGTAGTTCATCTACTTTTAGTAGTTTGTTTAAATGTTTTAATTATGTTGTTTTTGTTTGTAGAAGTGCATCATTCCTTGATTTATTGTAAAATGAATCTGAACTTTTTGATCTGTTATGATGATAAACTGAAGCAATTTCTAAATTAACCCAATTAAGTGAGTTTTAAATCGTCCTACTTAGTTTATAAGGAAATTATGAAGAGGAACAAATTAAATGATTTGAAAATGATATCTATGTAGGTGCTGACGCTGTTGGCGGTTCTAGTGTTAACAGAAATTTAAATTAAATATGTGTAATTGCAAATGCCATATACGATTTTCTTACCTGGAATTCTACCTTTTTGAACAGACTTTTTGATTGAGTCCTAGCTATATTGTCTGCAGTTCTAGGGTTAATATGAATCTAATATGATTGTCATCGGTCTAAATTAGATTTCAAATGATTAACTGTGTATGTAATGAAGATCATAGTGTGGGTTAGATCCATTTTCATAACCACTGTCTTTTAACTGATTTAAATGCGGAAACTGGGCTTATTCATCAGAATTTCGTATGACTTGACTTGACTTGCTTGACCTGAGCAATGACTTGACTTGACTTGCTTGACTCTCACCACAGTGACTTGGGACTTGCTTGATACTTGTAGGTCAAGACTTGAGACTTGCTCATGACTTGCACATGTAGGACTTACTCCCACCTCTGGCTTCCCCATGCCAAGTATGGCACAATGCACTATACGCACCTGGATGGTGTTCTCAATAAGAACACAACAAGTTAGATGTGGAACACTGGACACTTCTCAAAAACAATATGGTTGCTAGCTAGTTAACAGCTAGTAGTAGATCGGAGCAGAGCAGGTATGTCAGATCCGATCCAAGGCCATGCAATCGATATCCACACTCTGCAATTTCTTATAATGCAACTCTGATCAATTAATTCATGTTTGTTGGAGACTCTAATGTATTAAACTTGACCAACCAACCTGTAGATGGTTAATCTAGTTAACCTCTGATTAACCTAATTTGTATAAAAACATTCAATGAAAGGTAAAAAACAAACTCAAGGAACAAGGAAGGAGGAAGTGAACAAAGCCAGAAATAAAGAAGGGCCTTTCCCTTCTGATGATGACACAAGGTAATTTAAATGGTTTCCTCAGACTCCAGGTGTGCGTTGTTAGGAGGGAGGGAGGCAGAAACACATCCAGCTGGAACAAAAGACATTCAGACCGTTTCTGTGAAACAAATGCATAAATCTTTTTTTTTCTGAGTAACTTCTCAAACTGCAGATCATCAAAGAAGATATTTTACAGATCAGAATTCATACATTTTACACAATTAACTTAATTATAAAATGAATGTAGCATTTGTAGCCCCACCCCACTATTGCAACTGTAATATCAGATAAAGCACATTTCATAAATGTAAGTAATCTCACAGTATTTTTTTACTAAGGCTAACCAAAGGGTTATTTCACTTTATTTATTCCTTTTTTAAGCTATATATTTAGTTTATATTTTCTGTGACAACAACATGATGTGAATAACCCTGTGCCTTCGTAAATTTGCTACATTACAGAAAACAAAGAAGGACCTAGTTATTTTGCTGCTGGCACAAAA